ATTCAAGTCTTTTTTTCTTCTTTTTTAATCTTTCATTGTTTTCGCCTTCCTTTCCCCCCACCCCACCCCACCCGGCCCTGTCCTCTCCCTCCCTTCCCTTCCCTCCTCTGTGAATAGTCAAGGGAATTGAACTTTTGGGAGGGACGATGAAGGGGCGTCATTTTATATCTGTGAGGAGAGGGAAGGAGGAGAATATGATGGGGGGGGGGGCGGCCAGAGCGTTGTCTTCGCGTTAATGGTTCGGTATTTATTGTTGGTTGGTTTATCATCGTTGTCGTTCTTACTTTTGTTTAGTACTTGGCGCCTTCGTCGTTGGGATGGGCTGTTTGTTTCCCATGCCTGGTTTCATATTTGCGGCTTAGGTTTTGTTCACGCCGTTGAGCAGTTGCCTCTGCATTTCGTGCGTGAGAGTACTGGCGCTACATTGCCCACACCCTTTTTGTTTATATGTTTTAACGGGAATTGTATGGCATCGTATGGTGTAGAGAGGGAGTTTGTTGCAGTGTTGATATATGTAATACTCGACGGCTGTTAGGCAAATGGAAGGTAATTTGTAAATCCTTGCTTTTTTGTTTTAGCAAAATGGCAAAATTACATCCTCCATTTTCCCCTCTTGAACTGTCTTCTTCGTTCTCTTTAAGTCCCAACGAAAAAGATTTGAAGGTTAAATTTCATACAAGAGGCTGTTCCCCTTGCTCTTTAGAAAGCACCGTTCCATAGCTACGTCTCTCATCCCTTTAAAAGCAAGAGTGAAATTCATTGCGTATGAAACCTCACTTCTAAGAAGATCACACACGACATGGAGATGGTCCCTTGATTTATAGATACAATCAGCGCACGGGCCTTTCCTTTTCATCGGGCCGTATTGAAGAGTCTACAAGCCGATTTTACTAATGGTGCCAGTGGCCGCAAAGTGGGCTTTGGTGCAGGACGAAAAGCCTGCTACCGGGAAAGCTCGCGGCGGCTGGAAATTCCGGGTTTTCGAGAGGGTCTCATCGGAAACCGGGCTATCTAAATGTTGGTGGAGCTTCTGGCCGTGCTCGTGGCACAGGCCGCATGTCCGTCCTGTCGCAAGCAAGCACGCTCGCTCTTTATTCGTGCTTTGGCAGCTGATTTGTTCCTTTGCAACCACGAAGATGGAGCCGGAGGAATGTGGTGGTGGTGGTTGGTAGGGCCAAAGACTCCTGGAGGTCAAGGACAAAGCAATTTGTCATGGAAAATGCTGCCGCTCTGGAACACTCGCGCAGGTCAATCCCTGATTCCACACTTCATTATCCCCCAAATCATACAAATATTAGAAACGTGCAGCTTCGGGCGCCCTTAGTCTACCCAATTCCATCTGGCTTCATCTACATTTATCTACTCGCACACTCCAAGAAAGACTCCTTTATCCCAGGAACCTGCGCTCGTGACGGCGACGGCGTTCGAGCCGGGGCCCCTCGGCGGCGTCTGAGGTTTGGGGAGGTCAGAAGGGGGCGGGCGAGTCGTGACCCTGCCGGGGGTTTACGAACCCACCTCCGGTCTCGCCCCCCGGGAGTCTTCCCTGGCTTTAACCCCTGGGTCACGATCCCCATCCTTCTCGTCTTTAATGATAACCCGGCGTTCTTAACTATATGTTTTGCGCCGGCGTTTCCGGTGCGGGTCACGTGATTTTTTGTCTTGTTTTGCCTACGGTTGAGTGGCCCGCGAGGGGGCTGTGGCTTGTAGCGGAGACTAAAGTCATGGCACCTAAGAGGAGGGGTTCAAGTTCTACGTTTGTGTGTTTGGAACAAACCCTCGTACTCTAACCTCTCCTAAGCGACTGCAGAGTGCTGCTTATCCTTGTGGAAGAGGACCTTAACTGCCCCGGTATCACTGAGATTTCGGTTTCCTTTGCAATTGTCTCCAAGGTTTTGCTGTTCCGTGGGGATGGCGGCCGCCTTCACCTGGTGTGTCCGTCCAACTGACACGCCAGCCCCGCATGCTGTTCCCGTCTTTTGCATCGTACGTCTGTCAGGGAGAATTTAGTGACATGAGTTGCACAAATAGCTCTCCAACTTACCGGTTTTCATTTGTTTTTTCTCGTATAGTATTTATGGACCCGTCTTAGTAGAAAGATGTTACAGGCGTGATTTAAAAGAAGAGTGGTATTTTTGTCACTTCATAAATTCCAAGTTCAAAAGCCTGCGCAGCAACAGCATTATCAGCATGGGAAAGTTGCAGCATGTTGCGGCCCTTTACACGTATTCCAGTTCGACGTCTTGTGGTATAGTCAGTCAGATCGTAATTTATTTAATGACTCCCTCCGTTCTTAACAATCGGTGGCAAGCAAAGCGCCTGAAAATTGATGACAAAGGTGATGGGAACGAGCGGTCGAAGCCCCGAAGACGTAGCGTTACGTGAAGCAGGCTGGTTGCTGCAGGAGGAAGTCCAATAGCACGTTAACCCCTGCGATAATGAAGGACATTTTTCTGGTTACTAGATTACGCAGAGCCCGCCACACACACAGCCCTAAGTAGCAACCAGTGTATCATTTTTAAGAACTGAAATTCGTCAGAAGAATTGCACACGAAAATAGTTTCAATTATATTAGGTTCTTCGTTCCTCTCCTCTCTCTCTCTCTCTCTCACTCGTATGCGGTAAAGCTGAGAGGATTCCGGTTTGGCAGCCAAGAATCCTGATTTTCTTTATTCCTTCCCTCTTGTGACCGACGGTATTCAAAGCGCGCGGTCGGGGAGTACACCTTTGTGCCATTAAGCAAATGGAATGATTCCCCTCATCCTTTTGGGACGGCGTAAGTAATCAGGCGGTCTTACGGGAGCGATATAAAGTATTCCTCTTGGCTGGCGACGTATCGGGGAAGTATAGTGCTGAAGCGCCCTTTTGTGCGTACCATTTTGTTCGTTTTCGAAAGTAATAGCCACAGGTAGCTCTTATTTTAAGGTTGGCGAGCACGCGTACGGGAAAGATTTGAAACGTCAGGGATTGATCGATTTGGGATTGCAAGGCATTCTAGATTATTCTGTTGTAGGAATATCCACCCTGAAAAAAAAGCTGCCACAAAGTTATCCAAAAGTGTGTGGAGTTCCCGCGCGTATTCCCAAGAAGCTCCCAATATCCATACAGATGCGAGGTTAATTAATGGAGCCACGAGTTCAGTCGGGGGACAATTGTGTCGATATTATTAATACACTGCTGTTTGACTTCCAGCCCGCCTTATCCTCCATTTAGGTGGCACTCCTTACGGTGTGCGTTGTACAAGGAGTTTACATATAGTGTGATTTTAATTAATCAGAGAGAGAGAGAGAGAGACTGAGACTGAGACTTTGTCATTTTGCTCTGAGATTCTAAAGCCCTGGTTATTGTTTCCCCCCTTTCTCCCTCTTGAAGTCGTGATTGCTCGAGGTATTCTCATTATTGGGCGATTTTTCATACGACTGACGCAGGCTTGGAATTTTGATCTTCTTTCTTGTTGCGTTTGTGTAGGAGGAAAGGCCAGGAAATGCTTTTCAAGTTCTGCCTGTGAGAACATTTGTGGTGTTTTTGTTTAGATAAAGAGGTCTACATTACGAGGAATTCTTTATCGTCTCCTGTTCTGTTTCTTATTTGCATTGTGCTTTATGTGACAGCCCCCACGTTACAGCATACAGCAGCATCACACACTCCGCTGTCGAGGTAATTTTTAGGTAAACATACGCGCAATAAATCTGTTGACGGTGACTAAGCAAACAAGGTTTTATTCCTCCTTGTATCAGCGTTTGCTGTGTTTGCGCATTCTAGTTCTTCTCTTGAAGCGAGTTCTTTGAAATGTTATGTAACCTGCGTTTTGAAGAGTTGAACAAGTTTCTGAATTACGGCGTGGTCTGTAGGAAAGTACAGAAGTGTTTCAGGAGAGCGGGGCCCTTTAATTCGCGTTACTTTTTTATGCCCGTTTCCTGTATTTTGAAGTAACCATTTCACAGAAGTCTGCCGGTTGGCCTGGAAGTTGCCGGTTTTCTTTAGTTTTTTTTCGGTGTTTGTGTGCAAAGCTAGTGGCAAGGGTTAGGAGGCGATAACCTTCGGGATAATGGTGCGTGTGTGACGAAGATAAGGGAAATTGTGGTCATGTGGCTTGGTGGTGTGGCCGGACTTGCATGCGTGGCGACGGCGAGGCGATCTGGAGGGCGAGTGAGGTAGCTTTGAGGAGCGGGCGTGCAGTGCGCGTGCGGCAGGTGAGGAGGGACCTCCCCTATTCCCTCCTTCCAAACGTGCTTCCCCCCCCCCCCTCTCTCTCTCTCTCTCTCTCTCTCTCTCTCTCTCTCTCTCTCTCTCTCTCTCTCTCTCTCTCTCTCTCTCTCTCTCTCTCTCTCTCTCTCTTTCCCCCTCTTTCCCCCGTCCCCCTCCTCCTACCTTATCCCCTCTCCTCTTCTGCCCTCTCCTGTATTCCCTTCTACCGGCTAGGAATATGGTAAAACTTCTTGCTCTTCGCAGCATTGGACAAGGATGGTGATGGAGTTTTCTTGAGCCAGGGTTGTTTTTGAGCTATCCGTTTTGTGGCCGGTTTCCCACCTCGCTCCCGCCTAGAAGTAAACGGCAGACCATTTAGAAAGAGCCGGAATAATGTCGGAATTAGTGCAGCATGAGAAATTCTGGTGATTTTTATGTGTGCTGTGAGGGTTGGTGAGGAGTGTGATGGGACCCAGGTAGTCAGGTGGGGGAGGGATTCTAGGGGAGGCCAGGTAAGCCGGGGTGTGCTGGGCTCCCGCGCATGCGTCTCCTACCTTCACACGGAGAACCATGCAGAATTTTACATGTATTTTTTCCGCCATGGGGGTATAGAGAGAGTTTTTACATAATACCTCCAGCGTGCTTTTAGCTGTTCGGTGGTTTTTATTGTTGATAAAGGATTTACTTTGTGGCCATAGCATAGGAGAGCTTTGTTTAGATGTGGTGGTGTGTGGCAGGAGTGGGGGAAGCGCCCCGCCTCCCTACCGTGTGCGGCGGGCGGGCTGTGGTGGGGGCTGGAGTTAGTCGTGAGCACGCCGCCGGCCCGCGCTGTGCTCTCTCTCTGTGTCTCGCTACTCACACTACCTCACTCACACCCGGACCTCACACCTTTCACATCACCGCCGCCTTCATCGCTGCTGCTACTGCTGCTGTATCTTGTTACTTCCGCTGCTAACCACCGCTAGCTAGCCGCTTCAACATTTCCACTAAGCTCCACCACCACGTCGTCTACACCCGACCGCCACAGTGCGACCTGACTGCAACTAAACATATCCTACACGGCCTTAACTCGACGAGTGCTGCGACTGTGTTGAACCCTGTCGTCCGTACCCTGTCATCATCTGGGTGTGTGCACGTCACGCCCACGACTTCGCCCTCCTTGCCACCACATTCTTCCCGAGACGCATCTCTCACTACCACCAAAATTTTCACGGCGGCTGAGCAACCCACGCCCATCTTCTCCTACCTCCCGCCTCCTCCGCCCACTTTCTACCAACAACCCGCCAATCTGGAAGTCACACACTTCGACGTCATGGTAAGTTTCCTTCCCTACGGAGCTTCTGCCAGAATAGCCTTGGGCCGATTATCTTTATAGACTTTCAAAACTTAGGGGCTTGGCTAAAGTCCGGAAGTGCTGGTGACCATTCCCTGTACTGCATTTCGCCATGGACTCGTCCGGTTTGGCTGGTGCGAGGGTTTTCGAGCCGAGATTCTTTCGATGCTTCCTGGAGACGAACGCTTCTGTGTGGCATTGGAAAGTGCGTAGTTTTAACACCAATAGTGTTTAGATGTCTGTTTCTCGACTCGTGTTTCGTTTAAAGGCAGTGTACTTGACATTGACCTATATACATGAAACGATTTGCTTTAATGGCAGGGAATGGTTGAAAGGGCACGTTGACAGCTTATCGGGAGGAAATTAGTACCCAGCACGCGATGAATAATGTTCAGAAATGCCTTTTATTTGTACAGCCATCGGGAGAAAATCCTCTGGTCTGGTTTAAGGAACATTTATTTTTTCAATATCTCCCCAGTGTGTCAATTTACTGCAGAGAAAATATTAGTAATAAATGTGCACATGTACTGTTGATGTTGTGATGTGCTTGTCCGTTGTGTGTTTTAGTTTAGCGTCATTGGATTGAAGCAAGAATCTTTCGTTCTTGCCGGTCGGCGATTTAGGTTTCCCATGGTAATTCGTATTGAATAGTATCACCGGCGACGTTTGCTTCTGTATTCGGGGCACGTCATACTGATATGATGGTAGTGGTGCAAATTAGAATTGACAACATTGGTGGCAGCCTTGTGTTTGTAGATCTGGTTTTCGGCAGCCAACTTAAAGATAATGTGAAGAGGTTCAAGTGAGGTTTGGTGCCACCGTCGGGACACCAGCACCGCACACAGCACGTCCTTATCCTCAAGTGCTGCTTCTTTTTGAGCGGGCCATTTTCTCCGATGGGCGCATTAGGAAGAGCCAGTCCAACTGTTAGCTGAAGGAAATGCTAGTAAATTAGTTCTCATTAGCTAGACAGTCTCTCTCTTTCTCTCCCGTCCTCTCCTCCCCTCTCTCCCTCCCTCCCTCTTTCCCCTCCCCTCCCTCCCTCCCTCACCCCTCCCATCCCACCCACCCTCTTTCCCCAAAGCATCGGAGCTTTAGTGGTATTGGCACTGAAGTTGTCCTTTCGTTTGCCTACCACCTTTTACGCCCACGTACCGGAGCTCCGGTACGTGGGCCCAAGACTCTTATTCCCAACCCGAGGGGCGACGGGGAGTACACAGGACTGCTGTGCTTGTAGAATGGAGAGGCGCGTCCCCCGGTGGAGTTGAACTTCCTGAGGCTTTGGATGTAGCGGGTGTCCTGCCCCTCCCCTCTCGAGACCCCTTACCCCACCCCCCATCCTCATACCTATCATCCCCCCTACCCCACCCCACCCCCACCTGTTGGATGTCAAATCAAAGTTTCCTTTTTAGGGTGTAGAATTTCATCTTGCTTAGGATAGTGTTCCCACCTGTTGGATTTAGTCAAACGGTTTCCTTCCGTTTGGTGTAGGGTTTCTTCCCTCTTGCTAGATGTAGTATTTCCACCTGTTGGATGCGCGGCTCATTACGGCGGCGTTGGCGTTTCGTCTTCGGGAGTCTTTATTGATGGATGGGGGTTGTCGTCTTGGTGCCTGCCTATGCCGCTGCCTCTGATTTCCCCTTTAAATCCGTCTTCGTTTTAGCTCCCTTTCGCTCTGTTTTTAACTCTTTATTTTATCTGTCTTTCTTTTTCCCCTTCCCTTCCCTTCCCTCCCCTGGGTGAATTTATTGCCCGTAGCTTCTCTCGTATAAAAAAAGGCGTCAACATTTAGAAACACAATAATTCAACTGCATCAACATCAATAAAAGGCAGTTGAATAAGGAAAATACAGTAAAATATGTCTATGGTAAACGCGTGTGCACTTAGAGGAAACTTGAGTAAATGTGTTCATTACACTCACGCATACAGGTGCGCATAGGTAGACACACACACAGGTAAACGCGTGCGCGCACATGTACAGGTAAACAAACACGCGCGCGCGCGCGCACACACACACAGGTAAACACGCGCACACACACACAGGTAAACACACACACACACACACACACACACAGGTAAACAAACACACACACACACACACAGGTAAACACACACACACACACACAGGTAAACACACACGCACACACACAGGTAAACACACACGCACACACACACACACACAGGTAAACACACACACACACACACACACACACACACACACACACACACACACACACACACACACACACACACATAGGTAAACACACACATAGGTAAACACACACACACACACACACACACACACACACACACACACACACAGGTAAACACACACACACACACACACACACACACACACACACACAGGTAAACACACACACACACACACACACAGGTAAACACACACACACACACACACACACACACACACACACACACACAGGTAAACACACACACACACACACACACACACCAGGTAAACACACACCACACACCACACACACACACCACACACACACACCACACACCACACACACACAGGTAACACACACACACACACGCACACAGGTAAACACACACGCACGCAGGTAAACACACGCACGCACACAGGTAACACACACACACACAACACACACACACAGGTAAACACACACACGCACGCACGCACACAGGTAAACACACACACACACACGCACACAGGTAAACACACACGCACACACAGGTAAACACACACGCACACACAGGTTAAACACACACGCACGCACGCACACACAGGTAAACACACACGCACGCACGCACACACAGGTAAACACACACACACGCACGCACACACAGGTAAACACACACGCACGCACACACAGGTAAACACACACGCACGCACACACAGGTAAACACACACGCACGCACACACAGGTAAACACACACGCACGCACGCACACACAGGTAAACACGCACGCACACACAGGTAAACACACACGCACGCACACACGCACACACACACACGCACACACACACGCACACACACACGCACACACACACACACACACACACACACACACACACACACACACAGGTAAACACACACGCACACACACAGGTAAACACACACACGCACACACACAGGTAAACACACACACGCACACACACAGGTAAACACACACACGCACACACACACGCACACACACAGGTAAACACACACAGGTAAACACACACACGCACACACACAGGTAAACACACACACACACACACACACACACGTACACACATTCACATACACGCACACGCACACGCACAATTAATATATATATACACACACAATCTACCTATAACTAGTATGTGTGTATATGTATGATAGTGAGTGTGCTGTACATCCCTGTACAATAGAATTATATATTCAATTAGTCGGTTTAAGTTAGAGTACCAGTAAACTGTGTCTAAATCTGCTGACGGTGCAGGTGGATTGGATGGCAAGTGCAGACGAAGGGTCGCAGCTGGTCTGTTAGTGGTGATCAGAATGCTTGTGTAGAGAAACGTGTTCCTTGACGCAAGGTCCTACGCGATGCTTCTACGTAGACGTCTGTCCAGGTAAATGTGATTGGCAGTTAAGCAGCGTTTTTAAAGGTGAGCGAAAATGATGTGGCCAGATAGTACAGGTCCCTTTAACGTGCAAGACTGAGAAACCATGTAGGTGGCGGCGCGCGGGCGAGGGGTTTGTTGCAGGGGAGAGAGAGAGGGCGACTATTAACATCAAAAGGGAGCCGCTCGGGCGAATACACCTGACGGTCATCTTGATCTGCCTGTCACGGGGATCCGATTGTCCCGACGGTTTATTTATTTCCGCGTTGTGTGTTTATTTGTCGAGGGAATGGCGGCGGGGGCGAGGCAGGCCAGGCCAGGACGGCCCCGATGGACGGCGAGCCCAAGCCTGCGATCTGGAAGGAGGGGGATAGCTGGTGGGGGGGAGGGGTCGGGGGCAGCACAACCTGGAATTGTATGGGCGAATCTAGTAGTATGTGCGGGTTGTGTTGTGGCAGCGAGTGGTCCTGGGTGGAGTGAGAGCAGACGCAGCCATTGATCGTGGGGGCCCAACAAGTGTTCCCCTGGCGAAGTGGCGGCCTCCCGGCTCTGCCGCACTACACCGCCACCCTGCCGCAGTGCTGCATCTACCTCTTTTTCAAACGGCCTCTAATAAATATAGGCCGCCACAGTACCTCGTTTCGGAAGTGGAAGGAATGGGATGGTGTCGGGGCAAGCCTGCCCATGGCACTGGCGTAGGACCTGGCCTACGACTTGTATCTTAGCCGGCACTGCTGCTACCTAACATGACCATCCTAACATAACCAGTGCTCGCCACGCCCTCCGACTCGGTGTTGCCACCAAGATCAGGAGTAGAATAGAATATATGTATGTATATATATGTATATATGTATGTATGTGTATATATATATATATATATATATATATATATATATATATATATATATATATATATATATAAAATTGATAAATACTTATTTATGGATTATGTAAATTGAAGTATGCTTTATTCACAATTATATATTCATGTAGGCTTTGTGTGTGTGTATGTATCATTGTATCACACAGTTCAAATATTTTCAATGTGATAGTGATTATCTAAGGTTCTGTATTCATAATTGAGTAGGTGTTCTTTCGCGCACATGTATGGTTTTTAGGCTGGAGATGCTGGAATTCTGGCTAGGCGAAGGAATGGAAAATCAAGAAGTTGTCGGTCGTTGTGCTGAAGAATGCTCGAGGAGTATGTAGGAGGGCGAGGAGGAAACCACAGAGCGGGAGGCGAAGCAAGCCTACCCCACAGGAATGGATGTTGAGATAGGGCTTGGAAAGGTTGGACTTCAGCAGGTGTGAACTTTTCTTTGCTTGCCAAATGCGAATGCATACCCCAGTGTGTTCGTGCTTGCTTTCCTAATTGTACACAAATCAGGAATGTGGCGTAGGCAGTC